TCTACGTGGTAGACCTATTTCACGTCGGATTACAGGTGCGCCGGCCAGCAGCGCAGCCTCGTTTTTAGACCCACCCCCCCCACCCCCACGTCGTACTGCCGCCCCGCCCCCCCCCTCCCCGCAAGGACGGAGCGCCTTTTAGTATTTGTTTTTTAACGGTTTGCCATACTCCAAGAGAGAGTCGAAACGTGTTCCCTTTGCCGAAGTTGGAATAGGGAAGGTAATTGCCGTGTCTCCCGGAAGATGCATGGCAATGACGAAGACACTCCAGCCACTGAGTGCAATCCTCCCCTCTCCCCCCCCCCCCCCCCCCCTCTTGCATGCCACACACACACCCCTCTCACCCAACCACCATCTATTTCGATGTGGGCGGGGCGGGTCGTTCCCTGGCGCCTGTGTTTGTGTGGACGCGGTGGTGGTGGTTGTGGGGTGTTGTTTTGCGGCAGGTGTGCTTGAGCCGGGACACCCACAACTGGGGTGCGGATAGGCTGAGCGACATGCGCGCCAAGTGGGAGCCTACTCCGGACCACATGATCCTCATGGACGTCAAGGTGTGTGCGCAGGGGCGGGGGGGCTGGGATGGAGGGGATGGGGAGGGGCGGCGGAAGTTTTCGTTGTGTGTGTGTTTGTATTTATTTATAGCGTCGACCGCGCTATCCGGCTGACCAATGAAAACACGTCAGTGTGTGTGTGTGTGTTTCACGTGCACCTTGCTTGAGAAACACGCTCGACGCCTTCGTTTTGCGTTCCTCTCCCGTTGCGGCCACCTCCTTCTGCACGCGCCAAGGAATTTTGCGCAGCGAACCGAACCGGACGGGGCTTAAGGTACCCCACCCGTGTGCACGATCTCCGAGGCGTGCGTGGGCTCCGTCCTTTGCGTAGATATCCCCTTTTTGTCCTTGGTGCCTTACTTCTTTTTTTGTTCAAGTGTTGTGCCGTCCCTCTCTCCCTCACCTCCCGTCTGTTTGGCGGTTCCCCACCCCTCTCTCTCGCCCCTCTCAGAAGCTTACGGGCGAGGTGTCTACAATCGATGAGGTGGACATGTCCGACGGAGCGAGCGACGACGAGGACATGAAGGACGACATCGGCGACGCAGACAGCAGCGGTGCCGCGGCCGAACCCGCCGCCGACATTGCCGCCAACACCAAGCCGGAAAAGGAGACGGCCGATTCACCAGGCGATGAGGGCGTGAACGGTGGCAGCGGCGGGACCGTTGAGACCGCTGGCAGCGGCGGCGGCGGCGGCGGCTCGCTGCAGGACCGGGGGCAGACGGCGGGGTGGGTAGCGTTGGTGTCGTGGTTTTTGTGGCCGCGCCTAAAGTCTTGCTTGTGCTTGCAGTGTGGAGAAGGTCGGCTCTGAATCGGTTGTTGTCGCTGTCGTTATCGTGGTGTTGGAATTGCCGAGCTTCTCGTGGCAGCTTCCCCCGAAGTAGTGAACCTTTCTCTGGGATCGCCTTCCCCTCCCTGTATCGAGCCTTAGGGTTTACCGGCCGCCGCAATTCAAGCTGCGTTCCCATATCTCTGTCCATCTGTTTGTCTGTTTCTGTCTCCCGCTCCACCTCCCCTCCCCTCTTCGTCTGTCTTTCTCTGTCTCTGTCTGTCTCCCATTCCCTCTTAGACATCAACGAGAATCAACACCGAGATCGACCGGCAGCAGCAGCAGCAGCAAGAGCAGCTCAGAAAAGTCGACAGCAACAGCAAGGAGGTGGGAAGAAGACAGCGACAGCGACAGCGACGGCGACGGTACAGGAGGAGGAGCGTTCTCCGATTTTTTCTCGGACGGCCCCCCGCAGAAGGCCAACATCCGCAAGCATAGCGGCGTCAGCGGCGCCACCAGCAGTAGAGCCGGCGGCAACAGCGGCGGCGGCGGCGGCGGAGTCAGTGGCAGTGGTATTGGTAAACGTAGTAGCGGTAAGGGCAGGGGGGGCGCCGTGAAGCGGAGGAAAAAGACGGAACACAGCTCGCCACAGCACGCTCTATCGGTGGGTGCAAGGACGCTTGAAGGGGGTGGGGGGTGGGGGTTTCTGGCGCATAGGGAGTGTTTTGCCGAGAGGCGCGCGCTAACCCGTTTTGCAAGCATCAGGCGTTTTTGTGCGGGCATGCCTTGGACGCCATACGGCTGGCTGGCTGCTGACGACGGCGCTGTCGTGCGTAGGCTTGTCGTCCGGTGCTCGGACGCTTTTGTCACCGCCCTCCAAGTCTTTTTCTCAACAGCCATGCTTGCGGGTAGTGGTAGTGGTAGTGGTAGTGATGGATCGACTGCTGTGCAGAACGCGGAGCCTTTCCGGAGTCGCGGCTGCTGGGCTTCTAGCTTGTAGCGCTAGCTTGTAGCGCTAGCTTGTAGCGCTACAAGCTACCGCGCTAGCTTGTTTATCGTGTTTCGTTGGTGTTGGTTTTTTGCTGTCTTTGCCGTCGTCCTTAACGCTGGTGCTGGGCGCTGGTGATGGTGGTTGGTGATGGTGCTGCTGTAGTATTTCGCCTCCTCTGATGGCTGCTGTCCCATACACACCTCCCCGCACCAACTGCTGCGTCTATTGCTCCCGACCCGCTTCCCCGCCATCGCCAGGGCGATATCGATGCTTCCACTTTGCCGTGCGTACTGTACGCACTCAAACGTCTCCTAGTACTACTACAACCACGACGACGTTGCTTGCGCACGACAAAACTGCACCCTCTTTTGTGCGACGCCGGGAGGGGTGCCGTGTGGCCGCAGAGCCTGCAGAGGTTCAGCGGTGGTGACTGCTCGAACCTCGGTGCTCCATCCAAACAATAACCAAATCGCCGATGTGAAATCTCCTCACGTAACCCCCCCCCCCTCCCCGCCCCGCCCCCCCCCCCTCCCCATGGCAAAACGCCGCCGTGTGCGAAACCCATTTTTTTTTTTTCGTTCCAGAGCCTGATGACGGGCTATGGCCTGGAAGATGATGACGATGATGACGACGAGAGCAGTGACGATGACGACGATGCTGCTGCTGCTGCTTCTGCTTCTGCTTCTGCGAGACCGGCGAAGTCGGTCTCCTGGGCGGATCCGGTGGACGACTCCGGGGAGACAACGGGTCTAGGGCAAGGCGCGGCGATCGGCAGCGGCGGTAGTGGCAGTGATAGTGGTAGTAGGAGCGGCGGGGCCCGTCAGGCTGGAGGAGCGCCTGGCACCGTCCTGATGACGGCATCGTCGTCGTCGTTGCCAGCAGCGGGGGGGGCGGGGGGGGGAGACGACGACGATGGAGCGGGACAAGGGTTCCAGATTGGCGCGGTCCATCTCTACAAGAAGCAGGTGAGCGCTTGCCTTGGTGGAAGTTTTTCCTGCCAGGATGTAGAGGGTAGTTTTTTTTTTTTCCCTTAGCCGCATGGGGGCTTCGTATCTATCAATGCTGCTCTCCCTCCCTAATATGTTTCTGTATACTGCTGCTGTTCCTGGCGGCTGTCTCGGCTGTCTGTCTGTGTTCATCGCTACGTGCGCCACGTTTTCAACCTGCTTGTGTTATTCATGTACGCCCCGTGGTCGACCCATCTCCGATTTATTTTCGTGGTGCTCTGAGCAGCAAGAGAAGCGGGAGACGGAGGAGAGACGAAAGCGGTTCCGGCAACAGGTGAGAGCGGCAGGAAGGAAGCAAGGAAGGGATGAGCTTGCGTGAGCCCGTCCGCATGGCGGCTGTGCCTGTGTACCGAGTGCACCCGCTGCTGTGGGGATGGTCGTGCTCGTGTCTGACTAATGGCTTTGATCTTTGCTTGTTCTGCGTGCCCACCTCCTCAATTTGTTTTTGAGGTGTTATGGTCGAGCATACAGGAATATCCGGTAGCCTTCCACAAGGTCCGATTATCCGCCGTATATGTGCCGTTCTCGGTACATGCGTCTAGCCCATGTGTGTTTCTTCCCGAGGTGTCAAGACGAGGAGTGACCCCCGGCGGTGCCCACCCTTCTCTCTCACAATTCCTTGTCTTGAGCTATCTCGCTCTTCTTCATCATCTTCTTCTTACACCTGTTGACCCTTCTCAGACTTGGGGGGCAACGACAACTTGTTGTGGATGCCGGGTGCATCGAGTTTTCCGCCCGGGATGTAGTGGCTCGAGGCCGATCTCCAAGGCTGCACGAAATTTCCACTCGTTCTTCGTGTTGTGCGAAGAGTCATACCCCGCACAACCTCATCCTCGGCGAAGCTAGAGTGGCAATTTCTTGCACGCTTGGGAGCTTGGCCTCGAGCCACTACATGCTGGGCGGAAAGCTCGATGCCACCGCCGTGTGGACGGCCCATAATTAAGTTGCTGTCCAAGTCAGAGTAAAAGGGGCAACAGGAGCAAGCATGCAACAATGGTTTACGAAGTTCGTAAGGGGGGCCTAGTAAATGAGTTCGCAGCCGTCAGTCGGCCACCTTGTGAGAGCCTCTACGCACTGCTGGTGTCGCCCACAGCAAGCGGTTGCCGCGATTCATCGTTCCGATACAATTGATGCTTGCGTGAACCAAATAAAGAAAAAACACGCACACTGCTGCACCGCAGCAATACCTACATTTTCTCTTGGGTTTAGACAAAATTACAGGGCAAGGAGAAGAAGAAAACGCGAGGCACAATAGAAAAGGCGCGAAACCCACGCAACCGCTAGCCTTTGTGTTGTGTTGAAACCTTTGTGTTGGTTTCTTGGCTTCTTTTTCTACCTCGCGTCTGCTTTTTCGTCATGCCTGCCTGCCTTGTCTTGTTGTCGAAAACGAACCGAAAATGTCGGCACAATACACTTCTGGTGTGGTGCTGCTGTGTACTTTCTTTTTCCTTTCATTTCGTCGACATCGATCGGCCGCGGCAAACCCTTGCCGACCACTAACTGACAAGAGGCCTGACCCAAACACGAGGTCGATAGCTCTTTTGACCCCGGGCTAATTAATACCCCGATACCGACAGGGGGGCGGGGCGCAGAGGAGACCGACAAGTGGGGGTCTAGCCCCAGAGTAAAACGTACATGTAGAGGCATGTGCATCCACTCATGTTGTAAAACCCTGACGCTCGTCTGGCTGGTAAACATGCTTGTGTTCTTGTGCGAGTGCATGACCTAAAATGCCATGATTTTGTTCTGGGTTTTCGTTGACATGCGGCAAGAGCGGCTGGCTGCGCGGAGAGTCAAAAAGTCTGGAAAATTCCGCTTGGCTTGGTTGCGCGCGCCCGTCCGTCTGGTGCTGCCAACATGCACATGTAGGGCCGGCCGCGCCAGAATTTGCTTGTATCGCCACCCACCCCCACCTCCTGGCCTGGGAGCACAGGTTGGGTTCAGACCCTCACATATATCCCAGTTCATGTGCCAAGCGTGCCCCCCCCCCCCCCGCAATCCTGCGCGTGGCTGTCGCCTCCCCAGGTGGTGGAACAGCAGAGAGACTTTCGGCGTGCGCTAACGCGCAACACGGGGCCGTGAGATAGGCGCCGCCAGCGATGTTTTTTGTGCTGCCCTGTCGTCTCTCGAGCAGTAGTGGTGGGGTGTTTTTGTTTGCTGTGGCTGTTCTCTTTCGTCGGTGGCCTTGTGGCGTACGGACCAGAGCAGAGCAGCACCTGCAGCGGTTGTCAGTGTGCGCGTGTGGGTTGCCCCCTCCCCCCCTCCCTCCCTCCACGTGACGCCATCACCCTCGGTCCGCCGCGGCTTGTGGTGCGGTACTACACAGAGAGGGCGGGTGGGTTTCTCGGACAGACCGACGACGGCCCGATTTTAGCTTTGTTGTGGAGATAGGTGCCTTGTAGCATAGGTGGAACGGAGTGAGTCACTATCTTGAGATGTTGTGTCCCAGCCTTGCCCCGTGGTATACACAAAGTTCGGAGCTATCTGCCCTTCCTGCGGTTGGTTCTCATCGAGGAGTCTGCTTCGATGGAGACGCCAACCAGAGTCGTAGTTCGTGTATTCCATGTGCGATTGCCACCGGCTTGCGTGCAGACCTTGATTCGACTATGTAGGAGACTAATAGTGTAGCGTGCAACTGTCGTAGAAGAGGAGGAGGAGGAGGCGGCAGCAGTAGAGCCCACCGTTTGCAAGGGTGCGGTGGTACCTGCCCTAGCGCTTCGCCCGGGGCGTTTCGGCCACCATGGTTTTGGATGGGATGGGCGTGTAAGTGTAAGTTTGTAGGCCGACTATATTTTTACCACTGGTTGGCGCTTGCTGTGTGGGAAAAGAAAGCTCTTGCCTCTAGTCTGTCACGAAAAAACGCCTCTGTTGTTACTGTTGTGCGTGTAGACTGGACGCTCGTTTCGTTGTTTTTGCTTTTGTGACGATGTCGGAGCCGGGCGTTTTTGTCAGCGTCTCGGCTCCGGGAGCGATGACGGGTCGTGGGTGGTGTATGCGTCGTCGGAGCAGGTTGTAACTACAACGCCTTCAGGTTGCTTGTTCCTACACACCAGGATGTTGCGACAATATTCCCCAAGTGCAGTTCGGGGTCTGTCTCAGTTGCGGCTGGCTTTCCAGAACCGACTGAAGCGCGTTTTGTGATGTGACAAACCTCCCCGTTGCTCGCAAGGGTTCGACATCAATCACAGCCGCGGGGGTAGCCCAGGCTTCAACTCAATCCTTCTTCCCTTTCCGCCGGCGACTTCGAAAAAGAACAAGGATGGGTACTGTAGTACGAAGCCAGTTCCAGGCGAGGTGTCAGCCACACCGTGAAAGAGATAACGGGTAATTTCCACCCTCCTCGTTGCTCTGCTTTCATGTAACGAGGGGTGTGGGGCTTGCACATGTAGACCGTGGACTCGCGCACGTCTCGGCAACTTGCTTGCGGTTCTTTTCCTACTCGACGGTAGTGGGGGGGGGGGCATCACTCGATACTACTATAGAAAATATAGAAAAAAGCTCGCGCGGGGCTAGGACAGATATCGTCCACAAACGACGGTAGCACCGCTCGCTGCTGCTACCGCCCGTTTGCGCCATACAGTGAACGCGCAAAAAATTGGCCAATCAGAACACTGCGGGCACCTTTTCTCTCTCTCGAGCGCGTGCGCGTTCCTCCTGCAGAGGGTGGGTGGGTGTGGCCGCCCTCGCATCCTCCTCCACAGGCGAGACCCAGCACAAACACAGCCGGCCACGAACAGCTCTATAAAAAGCAGACCACAACGTGGCAACCATCTCCGCCGCCCGCGCGGACGCTGCTGCTGCTGCTTCTCGCAAGCCGGCCGTCCAGGCGCAAGACGGCAAAAAATATACCCCCTGTGCCGCCTCTTCCGCTTGAGATTAGACCTGATATAATACCTCCCTGTAGTGACAGCAGGTATTAGCTGTTGTGACCATTAAACACGACAAAGAACAAGTATTTTGACATTTTTTGGCGGTAGCATCATTCTGTGAGCACCAAAATCGCGCACCTCCTCTTTTCTCGCTATGGTGGGGAGGGTCCATGACGATGAGTCCGACTCGCGTGAAACAAGCGAGCGCCGTGCCATATCGCCCTCAAACCAAAGATGGCAAGACAAGAGGGAAGGGAGGGACGGAGGCGCGGATTTTTCGGGCGCGCGCCGAGGGGGAAGCTAGAGCAAAAAAGCAGCGCGCGAAGATACCAGCCCACGCCGTCCCGCTGACCCGCCTTTCGTACCCTCCCCCTTCGCCCATCTCGCCGCGGACCAAAAGACGCTCCCTTGCGTGTGAGAAGCCGCGCGCGACAGACAACGACGCCCCTACAGAAAAACACGAAAGCCACCACAACTACGATCACAACAACAACAAGAATGAAGACAAATATAATACCTTCACCGACCCGCCCATCCGATGCAACTTTCTCTCTGCACGGAAAGAAACACTACTCGGAGAATAACCGTATCATACACTACAGCAGCAGAGAGCAAAAACGCCGTCCTACCAGTCCCAACAGCAGTGGACTTTTCTGAGCCAATCGACAACACCAGCACCAGAGCGAAACTTAAGACCTTGACATTCGCTACAGTGCCCCCCCACCCCCCCCCTCCCCCGCGCGCCACCCCGTCCAGCGTTCAAAACCAAGGCTGGCCCAGGCTATTGTTAAGCACCTCCTTCTCTACCGCCCCCGGTCCCCGTCCTCGCCGCTACCAAAAGAAAAAAGGGGGCTGGAACGAGCCGCGCCGGGGGTCGTCATGGAGGCTACAACTACATCTCACGGTCGTCTATCTACTTGTAGCCTTGGAACAAATTATTTTGAAAACAAAAAAAATGTTTGTTCACGCGACAAAAGAAAAAAAAAAGTGCATCCACGGGGACTGAAATACCGGGGCAAGGGGTCTACACTGCTGTACCCCGCCACCTTTTCCCAACCAGTCTATTCGCCATTGCCCCCCGCGCGATACGCGTACGTACGGGCCGCTGAATCTTGCCGCGAAAACATGTGTCAACGAGAAAGGACCAAAACCTGAACCGCCAAAATCTTTTTTCGCCCTCTGCTTCTTTTTCGGCGGAATCACCGTGTCCTAAATCCACACCGAAAAAAGTGGGGGGGGGGGGGGTTGAGACACGAAAGGGTGCGATATATACCGTTACCCCCCCCTCACGCCGCCACCACTACACCAGCCAACTACCTTATCAAAGAATACAAGACTTTGCCTAGGAGGAAATGTGAGTGTTCGGCCAAGGTACCCCCCCGCCCCCGCCGGCACACAAAGGGTAAACTGGAACCAGTCTGTTCCATGCCCAGCGGGCCAGCACCTTGCGCCGTCGACCCCGCGCTCTAATCGGTGACAAGAAGCAGGCCCCTTCGAAGGGCACCAACAAACGGCCATGACGCTGCTTCTCTTCGCTTTGTCTTCTGGCGTACGAGAAAAGAGGGGTCACCGCTGTCGTTTTCGGCCACCAACAATCGGGCATTGTAATAGGCGATGACGACCAACAACCGAGTACAGCGATGGCGGCGCCTCGCTTCGACGACTTCTGGCGCACGAGAAACTTGCCACCGTCGTTTTCGGTTAGGGGTGTCGATGTGTCGATGTGTCGATGGGCCGCACCCGTCATCATCTCTCGGTGCCCGTCCGACTGCTGCCGCTGCCGCCGCCGCTGCCGCCGCCGCTGCTCGCGGCAGTCCGTCTAGCCGACGAACCAGACGTAGAGGAGGAGGAGGAGAAGGAGGAGGGTGAAGACGAAGAGGAGGTGGAGTTGGCCCTGCTGTCCGAGTTGCCGCCGCCACCACCTACGTTGGCACCGTCGCCGCTGTCGCCGCTGTCGCCGTTGTTGGCACCGTCACCGTTGTCGTTGTTGTCGTTGTCGTTGTCGTTGTTGTTATTATTGCTGCTGCTGCTGCTGCTGTCGTCCGTAGGGAGCTCGTGTCTGCAGGTCGGGCACGTGTTGCGCTCTGCCACCCACGGGAGGATGCTGTTGCCATTCAGAACGAGCGCGGCCACCGTCGCCGCGGGCGGTTTATTGTCGTTGGCGTCGGGGGAGAGAGCGAAAGCAACCGGGGGAAGCGTAGGCGTGAGACGTGAACGCACAGTATATATATACCATGGTATATAGCAGGGGGTTGACAGGGACAAGGCGTCACCATGTCCAAGCATCACCGCAGTCCTCAGCCCAACACAGCCTGGACGTGGCGCACCTTCTCAATGCACTCGCCCCATTAGAACAAAGCGTTGATCTCGCGTGGAGTGTTGTATGCGGGGTTTCCCGTAAGAACCCCGACAGCACACCATGAACGGGGTACATGGCTCGCGTCACACCCCCTCCCCCCTCTTCCTTCTCTTGAAGCGATGTATTTATGTAGCGGAAAAAAATCATCTGGACGCCGGCGTTCGGTCGGTCGGTCGGTCGGTATCTCACCACTGCTCGTGGAAGGAGTGCTGGCAAGGCAGCTCCCGGGCCTTGTCACCCGCCGCGAACTCGTCCTTACAAACGGCGCACTCCTGCCCCTCAAGCTCCGAGCCCTGACAAATAATCGCGAAAAACGGGGTGGGGTGGGGTGGGGGTGTGTGGGGTGTGTGGGGCGTAAATAGGGTATGTTGTGGTAGTGTAAGCATGGCCCGCTTGATGGCGTTCGTATTGTAACGTATGCATGCCCGCAAGCGAAACAAAGCTCGAGAAATTAGTAGTATAGGGAGGAGAGAGGAGAGAGGAGAGAGGAGAGAGAGAGAGAGCAAGAGAGAGAGAGAGAGCTAGACGGAGAGACATACGCAGAGAGACAGGGAAACCAAGAGACCAAGAGAGCCGGAGAGTTCCAGCACGAGAGAGCGGCCATCAAGTGCGCCGCGAGACACCCACCCGACGGGGTCTTGTGTCTCGGAGCAACAGCAAGCGGGAAAGGAGACACGACGCTCGACCTCGCTTCGGTGATGCCCAACCCGCACACCGGGCACCCCTGTCCCACGGGGCACCCTCCATCCCTCCAGCCGCATGCTCTAACATGACATCGCGTGCTACTGTACCATACCAACATGTGTGGGTGGGCATTTATTTGTTTGTTTTTTCCGCGCCAACCGGTGAACACGACGGAAACTGCCTGCGAGGGTGAGAGAACCAAAAAGTGGGGCTACGTGACGCGATTGCGGGATATAATGTATATATACTGCACGCTCTTTGCGCGTGGGGTGCCCTGACAAAACAGCGCTTAAATTACGAACAAATAAAAAAACACCAACAGCAGTGCAGAAACGAACGAACGGCATCTCCTTCCTCAACAAAAAGGCAAGCGCGGTCCGACAACACACACCAATAGCTCGCTTGATGGACTAGATGGCTCGCTCGGCCTAAGCCGGAAAGGGTAGATACTGTGCTCGGCAAAGTCGGAGACCCCGGTCGACAACAAACACAACGTCAACACACGCTCGCACCCCCCCCCCCAATGCCCACCTTGGCAACAATGATCGTCGGGAGGTTCTCGACAAATTTCTTCGACGCTGGAGGAGGGCCGTGCTGTAGGGTGTTGTGGCGTTTTGATTGGCCCGTCGAGACAGTCCAGGGCGGCCCGTCGAGACAGCAGCCCACGGCGGCGCGGCGCGGCGAAATACGCATTGGGCGAGGGACACAGCGGGAAAGGAGTCGCGGAGGGAAAGTTTCCAGACAATTAGTCCAAGCGCATTCATGAACGCGTATGATACCATTAGCAAAAATGAGCGCGGAACGTATGTACTACCGTCCGTGCCACGCGGGGAACTCTTGTGCAGTACCATAGCTGAGCTCCGACGACGATAATTGCTGTGTGTGCTTGATTTTGCCGCCGTGGTCGTCATGCCCGGATATTTGCCCCTTCGGCACACGCGTTGCCTCTACATTATTGCCACGACACCGACCACCCCCTCTAAAACCAACTCCCCGCCACACTAGTCCCCCCCTGACCCCTTTCGTCTAACCGCTAAGGCATGCAAAACATGACTACTCCCCCGTGTTGGCTAAATAGCTCACCCTGTTCGTGTCCGCCGCCATGAGCTGCTGGATCAGCTGAGACAGGTCCCCGAAAGCGTAGTCGCCAACGTTTCCCCCGGGCCCCATGCCCAACCCCATCCCCATCCCGCCCATGGCGCCGGGTATGCCGATGCCCCTCAGGAGGAACCCCAGCCCTCCAGGCCCGCCCAGCATGGCCCCGATGCCGCCCCCGGCGAAATCGGGGGCTCCGCCTCCCCCTCCCCCCCCGCCCGCGCCGCGCGCGTCGCCCCCCCCCCCACCACCACGAGCTGCGCCCGACATTCGTTGCATGTTGGGCCCGATGAAGATCTCGGCGTGTTCTGCGCCTGCCCCTCCCAATGCCTGGAGAAGAGTCCTGGAGTGGCACCGGTGGGAGGGGGAGGGGCGGGGGGTCATGTTTTGCGCGCCTCGACGTTTGATCACGCGTTCTCGAGAGGACGGAAGTAATTGTTGCCACAGGACCGATCGCCGGTGGCCAATCGTTCCTTACTACTTTCCCGAAGGTGGCCCAAAATGTTTCCCCCTGTACGTATGTATCACTTCTCGGCTGCTTAGGCCGCTTCGGGGGGGGGGTGCACTTGTGAGAGATTCGACTTTGTCCCGGCCGGTTTATCTGGGAGTGTCCGTCTTTCCCGGAATGAAGATGTGAGTTAAGGCTCACGCAAATAACCGTTATGGAATCGTTTTTCGTGCGGGTGCGTTTACGCGTCAAGACAGAGAGCAAGACAACGGAACAAAGCAACCTTACTTTCGTACATGGAATCCGGCATCACCCGCGGCAAGTACCTTCGCAAAAACATCTCCCACAGCGCGACCCCCACCACCGTCCTAGTGATGTGCAACACCTGGTGACACAACCCCCAACAAACACACTACATACCAAGGCACCTACCCTAGGAACGGGTTCTCCGCATCCAGACCACCACCTCCACCGCCTGACCCCTGACCCCCTCCCCCGCCCTGCCCGCCCGCTCCAGCTGCCGCCGCTTGCCCTTGCCCCTGCCGTGCTCGGGGGGTCTGGGGGCCTGCGTGCGCTGCCTCCCC